ACACACACAAATGAAGGTGAGTCAAAAATTATCCATACTTTGGCTGTAGCATTCATTTTAATCAACTTTTAGAAAAGACAAAATATTTCATTCTTTGACATAATCTCCTTGCTTTTCAATATGCTTTGTCCATCTGTCAACAAGCTTTAACATTAAATTATTAACAAATGTTTAAGGCTGAGCAGTGAGTCATGAATTCACCACTGTCTTCAGTTCTTCAAGAGGAGGTGACTCTTTGTCCTAGAAGGTCTGCTTTCAAGGGATCAAATAGGTGAATAGCCAGTGGAGCAAGATCAAGACTAAGGGTAGGATGCTTTAACACCTCAGAAAAAAGTTTTTGCAGAGTGTCAACAGTGTGGACAGAGGTGTGAGGATGTGCATTGCCATACAAGATCACGATGCCCTTGGATAGAAGCACTCTATGTTTACGTGCTTAATACGAAATTTAGGCTTCAGCTCTTCAGTGAGCATCTCACTGTAAGGAGCACTGTTGATTGTTGAATGTTTTTCCTGATAGTGTTCTAATATTGGTCTTTGAGAGTCCCAGAAAACTTTAAGCATCAATTTTGCAGCTGATGGTTAACTTTTGAACTTTTTCTTGGTCAGTGATGATGATGCTTCCATTACATGTTCTGCTGTTTACTCTCAGGCTCATAGTAATGAAGTCAAGTCTTGTCACCAGTAACAATTTTGTGATTTTTAGAAATGTTTACCTTCCTTCAGGTTTGGTCCAAATTTTGTTTGAAGATGTCCAAACACTTTTGTTTATGTTCTTCCATGTGTTGTTTCAGTATTCATTTCACACAAACGCTTTGGAAGCCAAGTTTGTCATGGATTATTTCATAGGCAGAGCCATGGCTGATTTGCAAATGATTTGCCACATAATCCACTGTCACTCGTCTATTGGACAGAATCATTTGACGTTCATGCTCAGTGTTGTCATCAGCTGTGGACACGGACAGACATTTTAATATAACTGGAATGCAGTTACTTTTTGACTCATTCTCATATGTATATGTTGTTGCTATTGTGTATCTACCTAGTTATCTCAATAGCTATCTATATCTATAATGTTCTTAAGAGCCATCAAATCGGTTTGATTCATAGTAACCCTTTGTAAATTTTCCAAGGAGCAACTGGTGGATTTGAACAGGCAACCTTGTGGTTCTCAATCCAATGCTGATCCTACAGCACCACACTAGAAGTCCAAAAGACACAGAATAACATACAGATTGGGGCAAATATAGCTCACTTGCTAGTTCTGTGAAATTACGTATCATTACCAATTCTGTAAAGTTCAGATTTCCAAACATATATGTTTCTATGTTTTTGCTAAGTGCCTTTGAGTGGGTTCCAAATCATTAGCGACCCTGTATAGAGTTTCTGAGATTGCATCTTTGTGAGAGTAGAAAGCCTCCTCTGTCTCCCATGGATCAACTGATGGGCTCAAACTGCCAACCTTGTGGTTCACAGTCCAGTCTATATATGGAGCCCCCAAGCTTCATATATAAATGTAAAAAAGTATTGCTACAAAATCATAGAAATCTATTAAACAACAACAAAAAATCACAATATAATATTACTATTTCTTGACATAGCCTCCATCTAGGCCTATACAGGTATGAAGGCTATGTTTCCATCTCTCTCACTTTACCCCAGGAGTTCAAGTGTTGTGCAATAGGATAAGCACTTCCAACCTACCAGCTGCTCCTCAGAATCTACTCAACAGCACTTAATAACGACCTTCTCCTTTAGAATTGTACACACTGACTTATACCATGTCAAAACAACAATTTTAGCAACCTGGAGAGACTCAAACTGTGTTCCTTTTAATGCTCCCTTGAGATTGGGAAACAAAAGAAGTCTAAAGGGGCTATAGGGTGGATGGACTAAGGTTTCCCAATCAAATTATTGCAGGACAGCCTTCACTACCCTCACATAATGATCAAGTGCATTGCTGTGATAGGGAAAAAGAAAAAAAAAATATATTTTTTTTCCTTAGTGCAACTTCCTGACCTTATTCTCACTAATGCAGTTTTCAATTTTCTGAAAACTTCATAATACATCCCAGTGATCATCCTATGAAAATTTGTCAAAATTTACCTCTTTGGAATCCCCACAAACAGTTACCACAACCCTCTGAGGGACTTCACTGTCTTGACTTTAATTGGCCCAATAGTTCCCCTTAGAAGTCACTGTTTTGATTTGACTTTTCTGTCTGGATCATATAGGTATGTTCCAGATTCATTCCCAGTTAGGATCATTCTATAAAGTTATCTTCATTACATTTGATCTAGCCTAAAAGACTGATGAAACTTAAGCTTTTTGAGCTAGCTGATCTTTATGTAATGGTTTTTGCATCCATTGAGAGTAAAGGGTGAGACCAATATGCTCACATGAAATCGAAAATATGGAGACACGTAAGATATCAACTTCTTCTTCAATACCTATCATGTCAATGGCAAATGATCTTTGTCCGTCATTTTCTAGACTTTAGCCACAAATTCTTCATTCTTCTCTGTTGATGGTCTTCCTAACATTCCAAAAGATGTTTGATTCATATAAAGACAGCAGTATTTATGTGTGTTAGCACACTTGTAAAGTTTTTGTGAAGCTTCAATGATTTGAGCAGATAACCTTTTGAGTTTTGTTAAAAATTTGATATTAGTAATGACGTCAAATTTTATTTTACCATGGCACAAAGAGCAGACTTTTTTCAAAGGCACCGAATGAGACCAAGATAAGTTTATTGCTGAGAGAACTTTTCTGCACATCCATCCACAGATTGCATAGACATGTTTAAGCACATTTTGTTTGGAATAAATCCCTGCAAGTATGAATTGGGATTCTAGTAGCAATAGATTTTGACTTATTCACATGTGTGCATGTGTGTATGTAGAGAGAATGACCCATAAATAATATGGGTTTGGACTGTGTAGGTTTGTTATATGTGGGTTAAAAAAAAAAAAAAAAGCTCTAGTGACACAAATCATCATGTGAACATTTTGTCTCTCTAATAAATTGCATATGGCAGTAAAAAGTGATCTCTTGCAGGTCTCATTTAGTTTTCATTGTGTTTAGACCAATACTGTAAGCCTTTCATAACACCATGGGATTCATACAGGTTGTCTAGTGATGCTGGAAGTACTCTCAAGAGGAAAAAATATATATAGAAATATAGATACATGATGGATAGATATTGTTGCTATTAAGTGCTGTTGTGTTGGTTCTGACTCACAGTAATCCTGTATAGGGTTTCTGAGGTGGGACTGGTGTGTTTGAATGACTGACCTTGTGGTTAGCAATCAAATATTGATCTTACAACATCACACATTAAGAGATACAGAGAGATGAGTCTACGGTATTAGTTGATATAAATGTGGGGCTGGCAAGTCCAAAATATGTAGGGCATTCAGCAGGCTGAAAACATTGGTAGCATTGTATCAGAAATATGTAGATTAGGTGACCAGCAGAAAACACTGGCTATATTGTGTTCAAAATTAGTAGGTCTGGCCAAGGGCTGCACATTTTGGTAGAATGTCTATTTTACAGTCTAGAAGCAAAAACCGTCCACTCTTTTATGAGAACACCACTCATTATAGGTTTAGGATGCACCCTGCTCCAGTATGGACTAGCATCCTCAATGTCATCTCCAAACAGGATCAAATTCATTAATACTGAGATAAAATCTTCAACATAGCTTTTTTCAGAAAGACCCAATCCAATCTATAACATTAGAAGTAGTATCATTTCCCAAGAGATACCAATGATCTGACATAAATATAAAATCCATCATTTTCTGATCAGTTAAGTAAATGGCATTGTTATCTAAAGAAAGACTAGTAAAAAAATAAATTGTAAAGACTCCAGAAATTCTAAAATACTTTTCAGGACTTGTTGTAAAGTGCCATCAAGTCACCTCTGACTTTTAGCATCCCTGTAAAGGGTTTTCAAGGAGCAGCTGATGATTTTGAATTGCTGGATTGGGGATTTAAACTGACCTTGGGGTCCAGTGCTTTATCCCACAGCACCACACCAGGACTCTGATTTTCAATGATTATTTCATAAGATTTCAAAAGCAGGTATTGAATATACTAACCATTTGTTCTTTGAACAAATATTTGCTGGGCAAATATTTGTGCCAAGTTATTGGAATCTACTAGTGAAAAAGGCAAAGTTCCTGCTGCCAATTTAGAAAGGAAAATAAATGAGCAACTAGTGAATTCAAAACAATATGATAAATAGATAATTTCAAAACATTGTTATATAAGACTCAGCGACAGCCACTGTGCTCAAGGACACCACTCACTCTTGTCTCGTTCAATTCCACCGCTACCATGTCTGACAAACTCCATATGGTCGAAACTGAGAAATTCAATAAATCGAAATTGAAGACAGAAAAGCATGAGAAAAATCCACTGCCTTCAAATGAAACAATTGAACAGGAGAAGCAAGCGGGTGAATCATAATGAGGTGGCACAACCAATATGCACTGTACATCCCACAAGCATTGCCTTCTTATTTTCCTTCTTTTAGCTATTTAACTTTGTAAGATGCAAAGAGGTTGGCTCAAGTTTAGATGACTGTTTCCCCTTTTCACATCAAATAATTGAGAATTACTGACAAC